ATAAAGTAGCAGGAACATTTTGGCAGGGGCCAATTGTTAATTTGGCTAAGTAATCATGGAACTACACACTCCAGCTTTTAAATATTCAAGGAAGTCAGGCTGACATGATGAAGAAAACAAAGCTACATCTAGAAACTAGTAGAGTTAGTTGGCTTAGAAGGCTGCAAGAGAGACAGATTTTACCTATTTATAAAAATAAAATTTGGCTCCCCAATTACTATCAAGGGTCACTCTTTCTAGAAGAGCTTCCCACTTCAGTGACCATCCTCTGACAGTACCTCACTCACTCATATGCATCTGTGAATGCATCTGTGACTAGCTCGTCATCACTCATTAGCCACAAAATGTGCAGATTGCTTGCACAGATGCATAAGTAATACAGGTAGGAAAAAACTCTAAGAATGACAATAAGGCTGAAAAAAAAAAAAAAAAAATCATTTTGGAGCTGCAGGATCCAGGCTCACATGCATTGTAAATCCAGACTGCTTCAGCTAGGAAACATACAGGTAACCAGACATTGGAATGGGCTGCCCAGGGAGGTGGTTGAGGCACCATCCCTGGAGGTGTTCAAAAGACAGTTTGATGTAGTGTTGGGAGGTATGGTTTAGTGATGGTGATGCTTCTTGTTTGTTGTGCGGGTGTCTATTTTTGTCAGTTAGGTTGATGGTTGGACAAGATGATCTTTGAGGTCCCTTCCAACCTAGAAGATTCTGTGATTCTGTGAACCATTCTGAATTGGTTAATACTTATTCTGACAGAGTGAATGTGCTGCAAGTAGAATAACCCCCCCTTGTGCACTGGATGCTGGAGATACCTAGGTGGAGGCCCAAAGACAGCATTGTGCATGTGAAAATGCACCATACAGGGAAAATAGGTAAAAGCAGACTATACGAAACTAAAGGCCTCGGTCTTTGAAAAAAGCAAATGACCTAAACGTGCAGTTAGATCCTTGAAAAATTCCCCATACTACTCCTGCGCTCGTTGAAAACTTCTGGTGAGTCATTTGTAAAGAATAAACAGTTCCCCCTCCTAAAATTAACACTGTTTTGCCAAGAGGCAACGTTCTCAAGATCCATACACTGCGCTGCTTCAGTTCACCCAAGCACTCAACACGCAGCGAGTTCCTTGGCTCTCCCTGCACCTCCATGGGAGGGGACACAGGGTGCTTAAGGCGAGAAGGGAGAGAGAAAGGGCCTTGCTGTGAAGACGCAGGGTGCATCCCTTGGAGAGGACAGAGCCGGCACCCGCTTCCCACCACCTTGGCGTCTTCAGGGGTGCTCTGACGACTGGCCAGTCCCACCACAGCAGCAAGGAGCTCTGCAGAAGGCTTTTAGCTGGAGGGGAACCTCTGTGGTAGGCGTTGCTTCTTCCCAGCGGAGAAAGCTGGGGCACCTTGCTTGGATACCAAAAGCGCAGGTTACTTCTTGGCCCAGGCCTCTGCCTCTGGAGGGGTGCTCCTGGCCGCGTGGCCATAAAAAACCACCCACAGGGCCCACAGCCCCAAGTGGGGGTGCTATGCCCACCAAACACCTTCTGACAGGCCGCCCGTGTGGGTCTCCTACCTGTACCGGCCAGAAGGGAAAAACCCAGGTTGTGCAACCTGGTGCCAAACCCAGTTCCACGGTAGCCGCCCCTTTCTTCATCCTCCTCCTCCAGCCCAGAGCCGAAGCGCCGCGCCGGGGGCGGCCGCCCCTCACACAGGTGTTGTACCCGGCCGGGGCGAGCCGCTGGAGCGATGGGAGCGCCCGTCGAGGAGCAACAGCGCCGCCGCTCCCCTCACGCCGCCACCGCCCGGGCCCCGCCGCCCTTGGGACTACACTTCCCGCCCTGCTTTGCGGCTCGGCCGCGCCGGCTTCCGGTGGCGCGTGGTTTCCGGAGCGGATCGGAACCCGGAGTCCGGATCCGATCCGGGTCTGGCCATTCCCCGGGCAGGTAACGCCGGTTCCCCGCGCTCCCTCCCGCCGCGCGCACCCCTCCCCCCCCACCAACACACACACACCGGGCCCACGCGCGCGCGGAGCACTCCACGCGGGACCCCCGCCCCGCCGCCCCGCGCGCGC